AGACAGACAGACAGACAGACAGAGACAGGGAGACTGGTGAGGGCTTTTGAAACTTCAAAGCCCAACCCCCAATGACACAACTCCTCCAAGAAGACCACACCTCTCCTGATCCTTCCTAAACTAGTCCATCAACTGGGAGCCAAACATTCAAATATATCAGCCTATGGGGCCCATTCACAGTCAAACCACCACACTGAGCTTAAGCATTTTAGGCTTTCTTTAGCTCACTTCTCCAAACTTTTCCAAGTTCCACCCACAGTTTACCTCTACAATGTTCAAATTTAGCCACAGCAATGACCCCACTTCTCTAGTACTAATTTTCTATGGATATTTTCAACTGTGCCAAACATATTCAAGGGAAGACTAATTTCTGAAATCCATCAGAGTTTCTAAGGTTTCTCTTGACAGCCCTAGTTCTGTTGACTGAGGTAGAAGGTAGAAAGTAGAAGATCACAGTAGCTAGAGCTCGAGGCAAAGGCTACTCAAGTCATGGTAGACAAAATCTCAAAGACCCACCTGCCTCTGCCTCCTGAGTGTTGGGATTAAAGGTATGCGTTGTCGCCGCCTGGCTTATCATTTTTTTGTATTTATTTTTTTATGTGTAGGAGTGCTTTGCTTGCATGTTTGTATGTATACCACACGCCTGCCTGGTGCCCATGGAGGACAGAAGAAGGTGTCCAGTCTCCTGGAACTGGAGTTATAAGCAATTGTCTGCTGCCATGTGGGTACTGGGAATTGAACTCAGGACCTCTGGAAGAACAGCCAGCGCTCTTAACCACTGAGCCATCTCTCCAGCCTGCAGATTCCTCCTTTTATCAGAAGTGATCACAGAACCAGCTTTAGCTCCCAGGTTTATTGTTACCAACGCGTCAGTTACTGTGATGGTTGGTTTTAAAGTCTATGACAAAAATTAGAGTCACCCGAGTGGGGTGTGTCACCTTAGGAATTGTCCCGATTGCCTTGATCGATGTGGGATGATCTCTCCAAACTGTGGGTGGCATCTTCAGGTGGCAGCCTGGAAAAGAGGTCACAGCAGAGGATTGTTTGTCTTCTGCTTCCTCTGCCTTCCCTCTCACCACTGAGCTGAGTTACTGGGCAGCTGCAGCTGCTGATTCCTTCGCTGATATCAGAACCAGCATGTCCAGGCATCTGTTGTTGACTAGGGGCCAGCTGTTTCCCAGGAACCTCCAGTCTTCTGGTGTCAGATTGGGACTGCTGAGTCACCCAGCCTCCTGGACGGAGCAACTTCTGGGTTCTCAGCCTTTCAGGTGTGAGTCACTATTTCAATATAAGCTGATTCAATAAATTATATATACATATATATATATACACATATATACATATATACATATGTGCACACACATATATGCATATATATGTTGTAGAGTATTTGTTTACACTGTAAAGATGTGTCTCTGCGTAAGGCCCCTTCTGATTAGTTTAATAAATGGCCACTAGCTAGGCAGGAGAGAATAGGCGGGGCTTCCAGGCAGAGAGAGAGACTCGGGGGAGGAATCTAGGTGCACAGATACATCGAGACACAGAGAGGAAACAGGAGGTGCAGGATGGAAGAAAGGTAATGCCACATGGCAGAATGTAGATTATTATAAATGGGTTAATTTAAGTTATAAGAGCTAGTTGAGAACAAATCTAAGCTAAGGCAGAGTTTGTTATTTGTGAGCTGGCGGCCCAAAGAAAATCTAACTACACACACACACACACACACTTTTCTTTCTCTAGAGGACAGTTACCTTTATTTGGTGCCTCCCAAGTGTAAGGTATTTTATATGCTTTTCCCTATTATTATCACCCACACAATAACTACTGAAGTGAGCGATATTATTATCCTATTTGGTGGAAAAGAAAAATCAAGACTCAGAAGGGCCAATGACTGAGATTTTACAGTAGCAAGAGAAATGAGAACCCAGGTGTGGTGGTTTGAATAGGAACGGCCCCCATAGGCTCATATATGAATGCTTGGTCACTAGGAAGTGGTGCCACTTGAAAGGGATTAGGAGGTGTGGCCTTGCTGGAGGAGGCGTGGCCTTGCTGGAGGAGGTGTGGCTTTGCTGGAGGAGGTGTGGCCTTGCTGGAGGAGGTGTGGCCTTGCTGGATGAAGTGTGCCACTGGGGGTAGACTTTGGGGTTTCAAATGCTCAAGCCAGGCTCAGTGTCTTTCTCTGCTGCCTGCTAATTTGGATGTAGACCTCTTAGTTACTGCTCCAGCACCATGTCTGCCTGTGTGCCACCATGCTTCTTGCTGTGACGATAATGGATTAAGCCTCTGCAACTGTAAGCCAGCCCCAATTAAATGTTCTCCTTTATGAGAGTTGCCATGGCCGTGGTGTCTCTTCACAGGAATAGAACATTGACTAAGATACCAGGTTTATAGTATGATAATGCAGTTGATAAAAGCAGCTGTTCTTCCTGGGAGTGGTGGTGCCCACCTTTAGTTCCAGCACTCCAGAGGCAGAGGCAGGTCCATCTAGCTCAGGCCAGCAAGAGCTACCTAGTGAGACCCTGTCTCAGGGGAAACAAAACAAAACAACCTGAAAAAAACAACTGTTATTTTAAAAACATACTTGGATCTACTTTGAGATCATGGTAGCCCCTTTTAAATATGATTATTATGTAAATAAAGTACTATTGTTCCCATTTTACAGATAAGGAACTAAGACTAGAAAGTAAGTGACATCTCTAAGGTAATACAAATTTTAGGAGTGGAGAACAAGGATTTCAATGCAAATTCTGTCAGACTCATTTCTTTAACCCCGAGTCTTTGGTGACTCCCGTAATGTACCTTTGCATCCTTGTTGCCCAAGTTATGGTCCATAGGTCAGCAACAATGGCACCACCTGACAACATGTTAAACAAGTGCAACATAAAAGAATGCAATTCATCTTTGCATCATTAAACAAATGTTCCACAGCATAAATGAATGTAA